GAGGTAAAGTTGGAATTTTCTTTTTTAATAATTGAAGACATATATAAAGAGGCGTGTGGGAATTGAATATGCCTTAATATGTTTTCAAGAACTTGTAGATCATATCGTGATTATGAAAAAAAAGAGTTAATTAATGATGGAATTAGTGACCAAACTAATATAAATAGGCAAATTTGAATATGGGTAAAATTGAATTTTCTTTATAATCTAAGACATATTTAATGAGTTATTAACTGTTTTTATTATTATTAATACCTATGTATCTTTAATTTAATTCCAAAAAAAGGAGAAAAGAAAAGATAACATGCCTTCAATTAATTAAATACAAACAGCTGTACCACCAAGCCCCACTTCTTTTGGCTTTTGACGTTCACGGTGAAAGGAATGGGAAAATGCATTAACTTTTGAAGGACAACCAAATGGGAAAGGAATGGCCATGCAACTTCACTATCACTAAGAAGGATGGAAACTCCATCATCATCATCCATCACTCGCCTTGCCTCTGCCCAAAAAAGCACACTGCAAATGACACTACAATATTTTCATTGAATATGCATTTGAATATATATATATATGTATGTATGTATGTATGTATGTATGTATATATCTCCAGTCACGCACGCAAATAAATAAGACAAAGACTTCAATTCAACATGATCGATCATTTATATCCTTCCTTTGCTGGTATTAGTGGTTTGTTCATTACATATCATAAATTGATGGCTCGAATTTGGCAAAGATTAATTAGTTTCCTTATCCTTCACTCAATTAGCTTTTCCTTTTTCTCCAGCTGGACAATGATAAAGAGACGTATGGGAATAATTGAATGCTATGCCTTAATTATTACTGTAGAGTTTATTAGCAGTCCAGCATGGTATAAATTGAGCCAAATAGGACCATGAAGGAAGGCGAAGCTCTCGTCAAATATTTCAATTAAAAATTGAAACAACTAAAATACTTCGTATAGCTTTGCGAAGCTCTATCATCAAATATTTCCATTAAAAATTAAAACAACTAAAATACTTGACATAGCTTCGCCAAACTCTATCATCAAATATTTCAATTAAAATCAGGCCAAAAAAATATTTCAATTAACAATTAAAAAAGTTAAAATACTTGATATAGCTTTGCCGCCCTTTCTGTATGGACCAAGATAAATTTTCCTGTTGAGGCTAAATAGGTATATAAAATTGTATGTAAAAGTTTGGGAAAATCATATTTGAGATACCTATACTTTCTTTTAATTTTTAACTTGGTACTTATGTGTTTTTTCCTCTTAATTAAATCATTTAATTTTACTTTTTTAGCAAGATAACCAACAAAATTAAAAAAAATCGTGGCAACTTAAAGCACAACGTCAATTTCCCTTGAAATTCAATTCAATTCACGACATCATTTGTCAACTGACGTTAAAAGTCCAAAAAACAACATCATTAAAAAAGTTTTACTAATAATCGTCGTTAAAAGTCTTATTTAAGTGATATTAAAAGTCCTATTTATAGTAGTGTATATGGTAGTGGTCATTTTTAGTTATCTTCATGGCCGAAGCAATAAGGAGGTAAATCATACAGATGTGTACTGTCATTCATCTTATCAATGTATTATTTATTATTAACCATGTTTCATGCTCATGTTTTTAATCAGCGTACTAAATAAGCTTTGTTCCTATGCTAATTATCTCTTTTCTGGGCTCATTAATTAGGGGTCTAACATGCAAAGGTTGCAATGATTAGTATTGATATGGTTCTCTAATTTTATACAAAATTTTAATTTGGTTTTTAATTTTAAACAATATTTTTTTCCAGTTATTCAAACCCTAAAACCTTCAGTTTCAAACGACAATGTTTTGCACTAATCATTATTATTTTGAAAATTAAACTAAATATATTATTATTTGAGAATACTTTATTAATATTTAAAATTTTAATGTCAGCATGTTTTGTTAACAATGTTAAGGTTAAATCACTAAAAAGATATTTTATAAAATTAGAAGATTAAAATAAAATATTGTATAAAATTGAAGGATTGAAGACTGAAGCTATACTTTTGCCAAGTGACCAACTTACGCTGTGGAGTTCAATTTTACTTCTGGCCACATGCCCGCCGGGCAAAACCATGCTATAGTCCTATTTAAACCACATGATCAACGTTTTGGTGTCATGAAATTTTAAAATGATATCTTTTACCCTTAAAATTTTATTTACATAATTACAAAATAAATTCATGAAAATGCCTATGCAGATGGACAGGAACATATAATTGTAAATACTGGAAGAATTAATTGTATATAATGAAAGATTTTTAGTAATAATTTAAATAATGAGATTAAATATTATATTATATTATGGAAGAATGGCCGATTTCTTTTAATTTTGCTTGTTTCACGTCAAATTATGGAATGTGCAAATTGCCTTAGCTGCACATGCTCTTGTTTGAATTAACGAAGTAAAAACTAGACTTAACTAGCAGCAGTGCCTTCTGTAAAAGGGGGGAAAATATATATATATATAAAAAATAAAATTTTCAAATTAAAAAAAACTCATTAAAAATATAAGGGATAATTAATCTCTGGGTCTTTACAGTTTTATTTGATTTTTAATCAAGATCCTATAAAATGTTTTCCTTTTATCAGATCTTTTACTTTTACGTGTTTTTAATTAAGCCCCTCCATTTTTTTCCTTTTACCAGATCTAGTTTCACTTATTTTTTAATTAGGCCTTTTGTAGTTTTAAAAAATTTATTTATAAATTTATTCTTGAAAATTAATTTCATTTTTAAATTAATAATTATATAATCGGACAAAATAATTAATATAATGATATATTAATTAATAATAAATTAGGATTATAAATTATAATTAAATATAAATTATTTATACAAAATAATTAATGTAATCATTTAGAAATTAATAATTAATTAAAATAATAAATTATAATTAAATATAAATTATTTATAATTATATTGTAATTTTGGAAAATTTTATTATTATAATAAAAATTAGAATTTAAAAATAAATAATATATATGTTTAACTAAAAATTTAAAAAATATTTAAAAAATATTATTATAATAATTTATGATTTATAGAATATTATTATTTATAGAATAAAGAATAAAAACTACAAAGATTGAATTAAAAATAAGATAAAACAACAAGGACATGATAAAAACAAAAAAAAATTAGAAGAACCTGATTAAAAACATGTGAAATTATAAGGACTTCATAGGGACCTAATTAAAAATTGGTTGAAACTATAAGGACTTACATATTAATTATCCCAAAATATAATTAAACCTGAAGTTTATTCACTTATTAAAATTTACCAATAAGGTTTTAATTTCATTGGAAACGAATTATAATGTTCATCTTGAGGACCACTATGATATAAAACTCAGATGGGTGTTATGGAAGGTTAGGATTTACGTTTAAATAATATGCATTATTGGCTTCTTGTACAAGTTGGTTGTGCAGTGTGGGGTTTCAAACGGGATTCTTATTATTATCTCTATCTCTGTGGAAGGTATTATTATTATGTGCATCGATACGCTTACCTTTAAATATTAAGAAAAACATGCGATTTATAAGCATGTTTGGATGAATCTTTTATCGTCTTTTAACTAATAAGCAGTGCATTAACAATGTTTTCATCGCAGCTTTTTCTCACAGAACCGAGAACATTTGGCTAGGAAAAAACTAAGAAAACTTATTAGAAACTATAGTTGTAGAGAGAAAATTTCCTACTAAATTCGTCTCAAGTTTCATCAGAAAGAAAGGACCAAGAAAAGTTCTCTGGATCAGTCTCAAAGTAATTTGACAAATGCTCAGATAATTTTATCTGAAATTTGCCAAACTAAAGACGAATTTAGCAACAGACTTTTTAAAAACAGAAAAATCCATCCCTATATCAGTTGTTAGTAATTATCATCATCATTTTTCTAATTAAGAGTTCAATAATTTTTAGTGATTGTGGAGATTTACCGAAACATTAGACCAACTGTTAGTTGACGGTGACTACAACTCACTCATCTTGACAAGCAGGAACATTCCTTCTTACCAACTTTACTCATCTCAATCTTACAGCTGCACAACCACAACATTCGCATCAGCCTGAGTAACATCTATGTGACTCATCAAACCCATCTCTCTGGAAGGAATATAATTACGTGTATTTATTTCTTTTTGAAATGTAAAACATCTGAATTGGAACCATATGTCCCTGTTTTTTTAGGAGTATAATGGCAGAGCTGGCCATCCCAAATTGCCTTTCAAGTCAATATGAAAAGTCTATCTAAGGACTGAAATAATTTCCTCTTTATTTAAGGACACATACTTATTACAGATACAAACTTATTTTGCAGAAAATGGAACTATAGTAGTCCACGGCCTCAAAGTAATGCAACAAACTAAAAACTTCACTCCACTTGTCATATGCTTTCAATAGCTTCCCTTCGCCCTCCGTTGCAATGTTCAGTCTAAATGACTTGATGAGGAGACTTCCTGAAACATGCATGCCTATATAGCAACAACCTGCATAATATATAACCCATCAAGTCTTCTTTTTATAGTTATTTGTGATGTAAGTATTTGTGATTAGAATAAAAGATCTATCTAGTTTTAGCGTACTATAAGAAAAGGCAAATATATAACATTTAAAAGACTTCGTCGAAACTTACATCGCAAGTTTGTTTAAATCACCACACTGCCAGCTAGGTCTTCAACAGAAACGGTTCATCATGAGGACCATTATGACATAAAGTTTGTCTCTGATGTGATAGAGGAATCTGAAGGTAAAATGCCTGAAATTCCTGTTGAAGAAAATGGCAACACAGACACCCCAAAAAGCTGTGGCAAACCCAACTCCTAACCCAATGTAGAAGGAAGATAGAAATTCATCTTCTTGACTGTCATTTCTTTCAATGGGTTCCACGTCTTGTTTGTCTATGCAGTTCGTTGGAAGCGGAGCACCGCAAAGTTTAGGATTCCCAATATAGCTTAGTGCATCAGACCTTTGAAGTTGGGTTCCTGATGGGATCTTTCCAATGAAATTGTTGAAAGAGAGGTTCAAGATTTCCAAAAAAGACAATTTATCCATGCTTGGAGGAATTTCACCCGAAAGTTGATTGCTTGAGAGATCAAGAGACTCCAAGTTGTTCAAGTTGCTGATTTCATTTGGTATGTTTCCCTCAAGTTGATTATGAGATAAGTTCAAAGATTCTAATCCATTGAGGCTAAATATTTCTGAAGGTACTGATCCAGAGATATTATTACTTGATAGATCAATAGCATGCAAAAACTTCAAGTTGTTTTCATAACTCAATCCTTGGCCTTTTATGTGCACCATAACATTGTCAGTGATATAGCTCAACAATCCTGGAGTTTTAACGCAAACTCCATAAACCCTATTATTTGAAGAATTAGGGAAAGTCATGGCTGTCAGATTTTTCAGACAAATGGGTAATGAACCTGATATTTTGTTGTCTGCAAAATCCAATATTCTGAGGGAAGCCAATTGGCATATCTGAGGTGGTATATTTCCACTTAGTTGATTAGATCTTAGTCGAAGAATCTTTGCATTTTGCGCCATCCAATTCATTAAGAATCCAGATAATTTATTTTCTCCTACATCAAGAATCTGCAACTTCCCACAATTTACCAGTGACAAAGGTATCTCTCCAAATAAATTATTTTTATTGAGATGCAAAACCACAAGGTCAGACAACAAACCAATTGATGGGGGGATTTTGCCTGTTAGATTATTGCCATCTAGCCTAACAAAAACCAATGATTTCCAATGCATCCAACAATTTGTAAGCCCTCCAGATAAAAGATTAATAGACATATCCACATACTTTAATTGGCTCTTCCCATTCATTTTTTGACACAATAATGGAGAGATAGGCCCTTGGAAACAGTTATGTGACACATTGAACATCGCAACATTGGGTGATAATAGAGGGAGATTGCCTTTGATTTTGTTTCTACTCAGATTTATGATTGTAGAGTTTAGTAACACGTTAGACATCTCCCCATGAATTGTGTTATATTGTAATTGTATGTATGGCACTCGTGCTACAAAGTCCCAAAACTTGTCTTGAGGCTCAAATAAAACTGTTGAGTTTGTAATTACCAATTCAGAAAGAGACGTTTGGGCGTATATCCATGCGGGAAGTTTTGAGGCCACCATGTGATAGAAATAAATCTTTTTCAGCTGAAAAGGAGGAACCCATACAGGATCGAAGTCAAAGATTAAGCCAGGTGATCCCATGGAAAGATAATGCAAGTTTGAGAGGTTGGCAAAATTTTTTTCAGACACATACCCTGTCAAGTGGTTATCATCAAAATGTAATTCCTCCAAGTTGAAGAGTTGTCCAATAGTTTCCGGTAGACTTTCATTTAAGTAATTTGAACCAACATCCAAGCGAATCAAGGATGAGATATCTCCCAAAGTTGAAGGAATTGGACCAGAAAAGGAATTTGCACTAACATCAAGAAACTGTAGGCGTTCAAGTTGGCCTAAGCAATCTGGAATTGGACCAGAAAAGGAATTTTCACCAACATCAAGAACCTGTAGATGTTCAAGTTGGCCTAGCCAATCTGGAATTGGACCAGAGAAGGAATTTTCACTAATATCAAGAAACTGTAGATGTTCAAGCTGGCCTAACCAATCTGGAAATTCAGAGCTAAAATCATTATGAGCGAGGCCAAGAACTTCAAGCGAAGTAAAATTGACATAACCGAGAGATGGACTAATGTTTGAAAGCTGACAACTATCAAAGTACAACTCCGAAAGGAAAGGAACAAGAGTTGCTAATTGAGGCCAGTCAACTCTCCCTCCAAGACTAATGCCACTGAGGTCAACATATTTCAAGGATGGAACACGGGAAAGCCAATCAAGACTATCAAAGTGAAGATGCTCATTATCGGATAAATCAAGATAACGAAGATTAGAGGAATTTTGGCACTCAAACACAGATAGATTGGTAGAGTTTGAGATATCCACACGATCATTTTGGATAATAGCATGGAAGTCATGATTTCTCAAATCCAAGTAATTTAGAAACTCAAGCTGAAGCAAAGATAGGTGGAGATCACCTGTGAGACACTGCCTTTCGTCCTCTTCATCACAATCAGTAGCACTGGGTTGTGGAGAACATGGGAGGTTAAGCATGATCACTCTACCAGTGGTGTTGTCACACTGAATTCCTTCCCACTGACAGCAATCTTGTTCATCAGACCAAGAAGAGAGGATGGCGTATGGATCGGAAGCAGCGTGTTTGAAGTTTAGGAGAAGATGACGGTCTCTTTCATTGCATTGAATGCTCAAGCCGCTGCACATGCCTGGGGAGAGCATGGTTGCGAATATTATCAGAGGGCATAGCAGCAAAGCGTTAGCAATATGGGGGAAGAATAAGGTATGCATGATCTCTGAAGATATGGTTTCATGTGTGATGGTATTTTGACATATGACACCCATTTATATATGTATATATATATGCCCAGATGACGCTTACTCTTTTTCTTTTTCCGTCATGATGACTTGGGCAACAAGGTACGGTACGGAGTTACAGATACAGCAAATTGAAGCTTACATTAATATATGCCCTGGCCAATAAAAAATCTTCAAATTGAGTCAAAGGAAACATATCACTAGATAACAATTCCAGGCGTGTAAATATTTGTGGGTGGTATAGATCTCCATATATTATTAATTGATAGATCTACACTTCCTAGGTTTCTTTTTATAAGAAACAATTACCACTCATGGTTTAGTTCTATAATTATAAATTTATAATAGACATTTAGAGGGTATCTTAAATTTTCTTTGTTAATTTCTCATTTTTATCATTTAATTACTCATTTTAATATTAATACATTTATCATCACATGGCTCGCCTGAAACATTTCTCTACCACACATTCTTTCCTTTTCAAAATCCTGGCCTAAACGAGTTTAGATTTGCGCGAAAGTCATTCTTAGAACGGGTTTCAAATCCTGGCCTAACGTGTTGAATTCAACTGACCCATGTGATTTGGGTTCACAATAAATTCAAAATGTTATATATATGCAATGAATATGGGAATTTAGTTGGCAATTTTTTTTAAAGAAGTGGGAATCTGGTGTAAAGAAAGTAAACATATATGGCGTGCGCATAAAGGGAGGGTGGACTTTAGAATTAGAGGTGAAGAGCGACCGGTAAAAGGAGGATTGGGAAAGAGAAGAATAAAGTTTTGGAGGAGGCAGAGGTGCAAGGACAAACTCATTCTCAGTAAGAATGACCTTCGAACTAATCCAAACTCATTCAGGTTGTGAATGATTTTCAACGCGGCATCTTGGTAAATACTTCTCAGAGTGTAACATTTTGGTATTTTATTTTATTATTCGAAGCATTTCCATAAAAAATCCGCCATACTATTTTTTTCCTTATAAATAAGAGTAATTTTTTTAAAAAAAAGTTATAGTTTTTACATATTTATTATTTGTAACGAATTATAACTTTTTTTTTATCAACATGATTTGATTGATTACTTCTTATGAGAAAAAAAATGGAGAGAGTAGTCTGTACTGCGTATTCTGAATTGATCAATTCTTGGCCTTTTACACAAGGCGATGTGGGGCTATGGTTATTGTTGTGCATGCATTGGGATAAATTGATTTTCGCAGTTTCATAGTTTAAATTAGTTCGTGTTCAAATACAATTGGATAAGTTTTTTTTTTTTTTGAGCTGACAATTGGATAAGTTAAAACCAATGATTTTCAACTGCAAAACCTGATCCCGCTGTGATCTTTTTAAATGAAATATAAATATTCCATGATTATAATATAATGTCCTACCATGCGCTAACATTAATGCCATATAAATAATTCTTTAATAGTGTTGCTCAAATGTAGTGCCATGTGCATTGAGTTATGGACGGTGACATTGAGTGATATTGTTTAAAAACTGAATCATAGTTTTTTTCGCCAACAAAAAAATTGAATCATAGTTATGCAATACTAAAAATGAAGAGATTAACTCCTCGTCCATGGGTTCGGCTGGCGAAAGGTCGGACACTCTCACCAGAGGGAGAGGGTTCGACCCTAAGGAGTGCCACTTAGTTGTGGCTCCAGTCACGGCGTTGGGAGAGGCATCTCCATAGCATAGTGAAACCGGGTGATTCTTACTTATTGGGCCAGAACAGAAAAAAAGCTTGCTTGGCTTGCCCCCGTGCCCATAGGAATAGGTTCCAGTAGATTAAGCGTAGGTGTCCTACCCTTGGATCATGGGTGAGCCCAACCCCTTTCCTAAAATTCTGTAGCCAAAAAAAAAACATGAAGAGATTAATTTTCTTTTTCATTAGGCACAAAAATCATCCCATTGCGGCAGTGATGACTTTTTTTTTTAATGAAAAAGTGTAGGTGAGTGAGGTATTTTGAGTTTATCGAGAACAGAGTATGCCTCCAGACTCCAAAAGTACATATAGAAATATTTATAAATGGTCGACCAATGAAATTCTCACAATGGGAAATGATGATTTCATTGGAATGCATATTTAATTAATGCTGTGTCTTCATTTAAAGTTTCAACTATTAATAATTTTTTCTTATTGTCTTCTGCTATGATCATTCATTACTTTTCGTGTTTGACGCTTCTTTATTTCTTCTATTTTAATTTATTTGTCTTATTCCAAAAAGAAGATTCCCCCATAGCTAATTTATCAATAATAAACTATTAGTTAAAATTCGTCAAAAACAATAAATAGATTAGAAATATAGTTTTGTTTTCAAATATATTTTTATAATAAATGATAAAAAATATAAAAAAGAATATGTGGAAAAATATGATAAGACATAATATGATAAAAGAGAGAAAATAAATAATAAAAAAAAATAAAAAACATTAAATATGAAGATAAATTTTAAATTGACGTTTATAAAATGGATCACACTGCTCCTCAAATTTAAAGCTTATAAATAGGATCTGAGTAAAGAGTGTGGTCCATTGTACACCAAGTTTATTTTTACATGTTGTGATGTAAATATCTGTTCTTAGAATAGAAGGTGTGTGTATATATGTGTGTGTGTGTTTATATATATATATATATATATATATTTAGAATATTATAAGAAAAACGGAAATATATAGCTAGTCAAAACTTACGTCGCAAGTTTGTTTTGCTCGCCACGACTAGGTCTTCAATGAGAAAAGTTCATCCTGGGAAACATTATGACATAAAGTTTGCCTATGATGTGGTAGGAGAATATTAAGCAAGGACGCCTGAAATTTCTGTTGACGAAAATGGCAACAGAAACTTTCCCGCACCCAACCCAATATAGAAGGAAGATAGAAATTCATCTTCTTGACTGTCATTTCTTTCAACCGGTCCGCTTCTTGTTCGTTTGTACAATTCTTTGAAAGGGGAGCTTCACGAAGTTTGTATGCATGTGTCTTCACACTGGAAGAATAGCTACATAAATACTTCTTTAGTTTTATTCATAAGACAAGAAGAAAATATTTTTTAGTCCTATTTAGAGGGTATTAAAAAAAAATTTATATGAGTGTATAATTTTACTCTTTATTTATTACTGTATTGATTTTATTTACATAACGTATAATATATATTAAACAGGAATAAAATTGAAAAGTTATTAAATTTTAAATTAGAATTAATAAAATTTAAGATTTTTTTTATTTGTGTAAAATACGTTGAAAGTGATTTATAAATAGGATTATAGAAGTTATTTAATTCTCACAACTTTTCTTTTGAATGCCGAGTTAATTAATGCTGCGCACTTGCGCTTCCATTTCGAGTTTCAACTATTAATTAATTTTTTTCTTAGTGTTTTCTGAAACTACGATCATTCATTACTTTTCGTGTTTGACGCTTCTTTACTGCCCTTATTTTAATCGATTTGTCTTATTCCAAAAAGAAGATATTTTAACTGACTTAGCTTATTCCAAAAAAAGAATGAACTGTCTTGGTTCATTATTTTCCCTTTAGGTCTCCTGTGTACTGACCGCATGACAAAGTTGACTCCCCATCATGTCCTAGCTAGTTAATAGGGAAAAGCTTAAGGATTAAGCATACAAAGATTGTGACAAAGCATAAATTGATGGCAAGAAAAACTACAAAGATAAATAAAAAAAGAAAATAATCACTGTTACAAAGTTATTGTCCTAACAACCGTGTTTTAGGCGGCGACTTGTTTAATGTACATGCTGCAATTGGAGTTTTTTTTGTTTTTTACTTAATTTTCTAATAAAATTATATACAAGTTGGTACTGAAATTAAATGGGAGCTTACTACGTAAATTCTTTGCAATATGAAATTTTTTTTTTGGGGCCAATTTTGCAATATGAAATTTAAACTTCGCTTTTATTGGAAAAAAATTTATAGTATATTTTTTTGGTTCTATTTATAAGGCACTTCCAGCATATTTCATACATACCAAGAAAAATCTTAAACTTTATTAACTCTTATTTAAAATTGGGAAAACTAATTTGAAGATCCTCATAGTTTTCATCAATTTTGAATCAGGTCCCTATACTTTTTTTTCTTTTTATTGGGTCCTTTAATTTTATAATGTTCAATCTATTAGTCCCTTAGAGTTAAATCTGCTAACAGGGTTAGGTTTTCCGTTAGTCAAGTCTGAAACATCTATGTCCTTTCTCCTTCCGCCATGGTCGACCCAGCTCTTCCCTCTCCTTCATTTGTTCAACAAGCTTATCTTCTTATTCACCATTCTCCCTGCTTTTTACCTCTCCATGACACCTTCCCTTCCCCTTGGCTATAATGTCACCGGACCCTCTTCGGCCATCTTGCAGTTGCTTGTCCATTGCCATCCAGCTTGAACCTTGTTTGGAGAATTACGGTAACAAGAAGAGCATGAAAAAAGACGAAATTGTTGGGTTTGTGAAAAGAAAAGTGGTGAGTGATTCTTTTGAGCCCAACGCCCAAAAACTAGCACTGTTGCAGAATCATCTATGGAGATAAAAATAAAATAGTACGAGAATCTGGGTTCCTCTAGCCAAGCAAAATTAAATTTATAGCTAAAATCATGGAGAGGTTGAAAGCAACGATGAGCCAATTATCAGTAGGGAGACGGTGGATAAAGAGACAAAATCATGGAAAGAGTGAAGGAGAGAGGAGTTTCAGACTTGGATTAACGGAAAATTTAACACTGTTAACAGATTCAACTCTAAGGGACTAATATATTTAAAATTATAAAATTAAAGGATGTAATAAAAAGAAAAAAAAATATAAGGACCTGATCCAAAATTGATGAAAACTGTAAGGATCTTCAAATTAGTTTTCCCTTTAAAATTTAATAACTTTTCAACTTTATCCTTATTTAATATCTATTATATCTTAT